ACGGGGGACCCAGGCTGGAGCCGTCTGTTCCTGAAGGATGGCACCCGTGGGGGGACCCAGGCTGGAGCAGTTTGTGAAGAACTGCAGCCTGTGGGAAGGACTCACATCGGAAAAGTTCATGGAGGACTGTCTGCCATGGGAGGGACCCCATGCTGGAGCAGGAGCAGAGTGTGAGGAGCCTCCCCCTGAGGAGAAAGGAGCGGCAGAGACAGCGTGTGATGGACTGACCGCATTCCCCTGCACCACTCGGGGGGAGGAGGTAGATAAATCGGGGGTAAAGTTGAGCCCAGGAAGAAGGGAGGGGTGGGAGGAAGGTGTTTTAAGATTTAGGTTTTATTTTCTCATTATCCTACTCTGATTTGATTGGTTAAATGGATTAAATTAATTTTCCCCAGTTCGAGTCTGTTTTGCCCGTCACAGCAACTGGTGAGTGATCTCTCCCTGTCCTTATCTCGACCCAGGAGCCTTTCAGCACATTTTCTCTCCCCCGCCCAGCTGAGGAGGGCAGTGACAGAGCAGCTTTGGTGGGCACCTGGCCTCCAGCCAGGGTCAACCCAGCACAGAACTATTTCCGTATCTCATCTAGTTCCTTTACTAGACATCAACTACTGTGCACCACTTGAAAGGAGAAAAGAAAAATCAATATGTACAAACTTGAATCATTTGTTAAAAGAGTAATAGTTACCAGGAATGGGGACTCCCACTTGCATTGGGGCAAGTGAAGATGAATTTTCCACCATACTGTCAGCTCTAGTATTGTTATCAAAATTACAGATTAACTGCAGCAAGCCACCTTTGCCGATTCTATTAAAAACCAGCTGAGGCACAAGAGGCCAGCAGCACCGTACTAACGCTGCTCTAGAGCCCGCTCTGGTTCGGAAACTACTGTTAACCTTTACAGGCAGGTTGTACCTGTGCAAGTGATAAAACGCACCTGAGACGCCCAAACAGCTTTTCAAGAGCCAGCTTAATGCTGGCAAGCGTCAAGCTAGGTGTAAGCCGATTTGGTGAAAAGCCGTACAATATCCTCTGCATTCACTGTCCACTGAGTTGCATGGTAACAAATTTTTAGAATCATTTAGGGTATGCCAAAGTGATACCTTCCATAACATGACAGTTTTCTTACAAGGAGCTTGCATATCTAAGGAAACAGAATGCCAGAAGGGGAAGGGAAGGGGAAGGGACAACAGACAACACAGAAGAATCTCTATCACAAAATTATCACAAAAGAATACAGTTTTTCTGTCAACAGTTGGGATTTCAAGACCCAAGTGTTAATTTGCAAGCTCACTGAAAACTCACCGCGCTCTGTGCCCAGCATGCTCTTTCACTGTTGTGGGTGGAGCGTGCCAACCCATTGCAATAGTGTTTCACCACCCATCGCTTTCCTCTGGATTGAAGCGTATGCAGTTAAAGCGAGCATGGAAGTGCCACGCTCCGAATTCTGGCCACAGCAAACTAGTTTCTGTAAAACCCCTTGTCTATAAAATAACTTGTCTGCCTCCGGAGTTTTCTGTCTCACACCACAGCTGAGGTTGGAAGGCACCTCTGGAGATGATCTGGTCCAACACCCATCCCACCCCCGCATCCAGTCAGGTTTTGAAGGAGACTCCACAACCTCTCTGGGCAACCTGCTCCACTGTTTGACCACCCTCACAGGAAAAGGTTTTTCTGATGTCTAAATGGATTCTCCTGTATTTCAGTTTGTGTCCGTTGCCTCTTAGCCTGCTGCTAAGCACCACCAAGAAGTCTGTCTGTTTTTTACCCCCTCCATCATATATTTATCCACATTGGTAAGGTCCCTCCTGAGCCTTCTCCAGGCTGAGCAGTCCCAGCTCTCTCAGCCTCTCCCCATATGACAGGTGCTCCACTCCATAATCATCATCATGGCCTGTTGCTGGACTTGCTCCAGGTAAGTCTGAGCCTCTCTTTGTACCATGGAAGTCCAGAATTGGACCCAGAACACCAGATCCCTCACTGGATCCAAGTAGAAAGGATCACCTCCCTTGACCTGGTAGTAACAC